CCTTACTGGAAACAGCAAATGCAGTGATTTTCAGGCACATGCAGGGCACGGTCTGTGCTTAGACACAAGTCCCATCCCTCGTCTCAGTCCAGCCCTATGTCCTCTGGACTCTTTCGCCTAATCCTACTGTCCTTCCCCGAGTTACCACAGCAGCAGGTCTTTCAACACTCCAAAGACATCATTAATATTGTTACTGATTATTTTAATAAAAGCCAAAACCAAACCAAAACACACTCCACTCATGTCTCCGCTTGCATGGTCCACAGCACTGGCAGAGCTGGCCGATGTCTCTACGGGGTCAGACAGCAACGTATCAGGTCTGGGGGTGTGCAGACCTTGGGGGTGCAGGCTCCGGTGCTGCTGCACAAAAGCATCCACAGTCCACATGAACATGTGAACATGATGTAAACAAACATGATCACGGTCCAAAACAAAACAAACACAAACCCCAATTTACTAACACAGGCCGGCTGGATTTGGCCTGCCCCACGACAATCCTGCACTGCTTCACTTCCCAGCACCACATCCAGGCGCTTCCCCACCCCAGGCTTGCCTCTGCACCCCATGCACACTGCTGGATGCACCCACACCCTGCTGGCACCCTTGCTCGGGAGGAAGCTGACTGCTCCCTCTGCTAAGGCTGGGTAGAATGGTTCTCATCCTTCAAGGACCCTTCTGAGTGTTGCTTTCTCTGGAAGATTTCCACTGAGCTCCCCTGAAAGCGAAGAAACCATTCTTTCTAGGTTTTTCCAAAAAGCTGGACACATGTCTCAGCTCTTTATGTCCTCACAATGCCGGGCACAGATCAAAGGTTCAAACTCATCCAGGTGGCCCCAACTCAACCTCGGGTCCCAGCATCAGCACCAGGTCAGTACCGACTCAGAAGGAAACAAGGACATGCAGAAGCAGTACTAAGAGCCTTGCAGCCTTCACCCAGCCCGTCACTGCACTGTCTGCTTCTGCTTCTCTCCTAAATAATGAACTCCTAGAAAAAGGAATAGAATCTTAGTTACAAAAGCCCTAGGGCTGAGCATTTAGCTAAGCAGTTTAATATGCTGGTTACGATGCCCACATCCCACATGGGAACATCTGGGTTCAATTCCAAACTTCCTGGCTCCCAACTCCAGCTTCCTATTAATGCAGACTTTCAGGAGCAGGGATGGCTTGAGGAGTTGGGTTCCTGCCACCCATGTGGGGGGCTTGGGTTGAGCTTCCGGCTCCCAGCTTTGGGCTGGCTAAGCCCCAACCACTGCAGATATGTGGGGAGTGAACCAACAGATGAAAGCTGGTGCACTCTCTCTCACTCACTCTTTCTTCCGCCTCTCCAATTCAAGGAATTTTTAATTATTTAAGACCTTCAAAAAAAGGTACTTTCAATTTATTGACTTTCTTGAAAATCAATGTAAACTTTTACAAAGTAAAAATTAAGTTCTTAGGGCCAGTGTCATGGTGTAGTGAGTAAAACCACATCCTGCAAAGCCAACATCACACATGGGTGCCGGTTCAAGTCCTGGCTGCTCCACTTTCAATCCATCTTCCTGCTAATGGGCCTGGGAAAGCAAAAGACAGCCCAGTTGCCTGGATCCCTGAACCCATGTGAGTGATCTCAAAGAAACCCCTGGCTTTGGCCAGGCCTAGCCCCAGCCACTATGGCCACTTGGGGAGTAAACCAGCAGATCTTCCATTTCCCACAAATAATAACTCTACCTTTCCCACAAAAAAATAAATCTTTTCTAGAAAATTATCAAAACTGATAATATAGAAAACAATTTTAAAAGCCTTTAAGGTATATCAAGAAAAACAAGGATTTTAAAAAATACACACTTATTATTACTAAAGAGAAAAAACATCTTTTGGTAAAATAATAAAACCCCATGTAGCAAAGATTACACAGACAGTTCTAGTAATCTGGTCGGTGGGCTAAAAAGCAAGCACTTAAGGTCTCAGCTCCAGCTTCTGCGCATTTCTTCTGCTGAATTTCACACTCATTTCTCCTCGTTGGACAAAACTGTGATGACAGGATGGTCAGCTGGCATTTGCTCAGCTCTGCCCTGCGCGGCCAAAGGAACTGTCAAATGTTCAGTTGGTGCATCAACTAATTTGTCTCTCTGCCATCTAGTGGGTAAGGCTTTCCTAGCCATCTGCAGCTGACACTGAGGAGGCTGCTGACCTGGGCCTATTCCCTTGACCTTCCTGACTTGCTTCCCCTCTGTCCTCACCAGACTGTCTTGGTTTGAGGCTGACACCTAGCCTGTCTTACTGGTTTACTGTGCTCTCCTGCAGCCTAGCTGCCAGCACTTCCCACTGCGCTTCCTGCACAGCAGGGCTGGCCGTCCGTGGTCGATGCCGATGGGTCTCTGCATGTGACATGGAACCCTTCCCCTGCAGTAGGGCTGGCATGACTGCGTGGGCCTGGATTCTCCTTTTCTTCACTCACTCGATCCACGATTTAGTGAGATGGAAATCTGACATTAGGCACATGTGTTGTCCAGAATGAAGAATGGGAGAACTGGAATTTGATTCAGTAAAATGTGTCCTGGGAGGAACAGCAAACACTCCCAGGAGGACATTTAACACAAGGCACTAACGTGACTTGCCACATCTACTTAAGGGTGACAGGGTTATGCATGAAGTAGAACATGTGTTTTTATTATAAACCACACTTTTCATGCCCAGGAGTCCAAGCCAAACAAAACAGCTGTCTCTTCTAAAAAGTTTGTTTATTTTTTTATTTAAATAAGGCAAAATAACTAGACAGGGAGAGAAATAGAGATTTTCTCTCTGTAGGTTTACTTCCAACTGGCCCAGCAGTCAGCCTTAGAACCAGAATCTGTGTCCTGGTCTACCACAGGGAGGCAGGGCCCGAGCACTGGGGCCATCTTTTCCTGTCTTCCCAGGAAGCTGGATCACAAGTGGAGGAGCCAAGACTCAAACCAGCACTCCGACATGGGATGCCAGCATCACTAGCAACCGTTCAACTCGCAATGCCAGCCCCCAAGCCTGATTCCTGACACATCTGTTTGTGGCAAAAGCACAGAATACCCATCAGTAGCTCAGTGTTAGTTAAATTTCTAGGGGGAAAAGGGGGGGCGGTTAAATGGGTATACAAAGCAACTGTAGTGAAAAAACAAAATTCCCAACAGAAGACATTTTCCCACGTTAATGCAAGGCAGTGGACATAAACTCGACCTGCACTCCTACTTCATAAAATCCCTCACCTTGACACACACCTCATCGACTACCAGCACTGCAACTTTTCAGTGCCACGTAGGCTAAGCCTCTGACAAACACACACAGTTCTCAACCACCCATGACAAGCCATCATCTCTCCTACCTCCAGTGACAGGGAAGCTGGTGCACCATGGTGCATTAACTCAGAGTCTCCTGGCATCCTCTCCGCTCAAGGAGAGGCCCAAGGGACCACTGGGTTTCCCGCAAGGCCCAACAATCCTACCACACCTTCTTATCTCTAACATCCCCAGTCCTCTCTCCCTGCGCAGTCCAAAGCGGTCCAGTGTGGATGAGTTAGTGTTGCCGGACTCAGCAAGGGCCACAGCAATCAGGAGCTGTGAGCTTTCTTCTACAGTTCAGGAAGGAGAATCTTGGAAATGGCCAGGACCAAACTGGGGACTTGAAAAGGGAGACCCTACTTCCCTTCCTTTCATTCCAACCTGAGATCGCACCCTGCTCCCACCTCAGTCAGCTACACAACCAGGGGGTGGTGTCATGCAGAAGTCTTTTGTCTAAGGGGTGAAGAAAGCAGAGGAGATCACATCACAAGTAACTAACGGGGGTAATAAAACGTGCTAAACAACGTGGGGCTACGAGCTGCAGGGCTAAGAGGGTGACTCGGCCCTCCTATGGCTTGTTCAGTCACAGAACACCTGACTGCCTGCCAGGCCACGGTCAGACTCCACAGGGTGATCACATAAGATTCTGCATGTCTGCCACTGCAGCTCATGGCTTATTGACCCAACGCAGGTCCAACTACTGCCTGCCTCACGCCTCTGTGTGTACCACTCTCACCCCGACTCCATTCCGCACCTGCTGTGCTCTGGAAGCAGCACCAGCACCCCTCCACAAGGCCCTTCAAGGCGCGCAGGTGGAAATGAACACATTCTCCCCTACGCCCTGCACACCTGGCTGCTTCTACACCAGCCTCCTCCTTCAGCCCCTTACCCTCGCATTACTCTGACGTGGTGCTGTTCAGCAGGTGGGTGCTCAGCAGATGCTTGAACTCCCCTCTGGTATTCGGAAATTCTAAGCACGCTGCTATGCATTAACTCACGCACACATACAATCATTCAGACATATTTGGCTGGGCACAAAGTCCCAGGCACGGGACTGTGTGCAAGGGCCGTGGACTGGTCATGAACTCAAGGAGATATGCTCTGCGGACCCTTTTTCTTGCACCCTCCAAAGGGCTGAACCTGATTTTCAAAAATATTATTTTATTTCTGGAGGAAAATAGAAAGAACTTCATACGCCTTGGTTCTTCAAAACTAGAGCCACCTGTCATATCCAACATGGGGAAGTGAACAAGGCAAACATTACCTGTCCACTTAACGAGTTTCCCGTGTAGCCGGGAACACAGACCGCCATTTGTTCCTTCCTCTCTTCCTTCATTCAACGACCCTTTACTACGCACAGCTCTGAGTCATTCATTCTGCAACCAAAGCTCTCCGGGAGACCAACCAGGGCCTGCAGGAAAAGCGATGGGAAGGCGTGTAACACGCCGTGCTGGCCTGTCTCAGCACCTAGAGCGCCTTTCTATCCGTCCGGGGCCGCGGGAAGAAGCGGCAGGTGCGGCCAGGGCGGCCAGGGCGTGCAGACAGCACCCGCCGCAGTGGACCCAGCAAGGGGACCCCGCGCTCCACCGGCACGCCAAGCGCCCCTCAAACCAAGGCTGTCTCCCCGACGCAGCCGTCGGCTCCGAGAGGCGGCCCGGGGTCCCTGTCCACCCTGTGCCCAGCCCCACGTTCCCATAGCAACCAGCTCACCACTTCGCGAGCTCGGTTAGAGAAGTCCCCTTTCGGCCGGGGGGTCCGGCGGAACAGCTCGTCGCGGCTGCCATCGACGCCGCCGACGGCCACTCCCAGGGCCTTGTTGCGCGTCTTCACTGTCTTGACGCTGGCCCGGAACAGCAAGGTGATGTCCACCGCCATGGCGACCAGCCCCGCCG